ACCGTGAGCTCTTGGTTCATAGGATAAAGCTCAACCACTGAGCCATACCAGCCAACAAACCCTAAAATTCTGATATTGTGTGAAGTTTTACATGAACGTTATGGCAGAGTCCAAAGGTCAAACTTACACATTTCCCAGAGACTTGGTGAAAACAGAGAACTACGGTGAAGCAGGGAATCCTTCCCCCTCACCCAGGCCTCTGAATTCCACCAAAACCAATGAAATGAAAACAGAAGCATGGATTAACGATGATGTGACCAAATCTCTATGCATTTTGTTGGCATGAGTTCACCCCGCAGAGTTCCTGAATACCCTTGGGTGAACGTAGGAAATCACAGAAGATGCAGAATAAGGAATGGCCAGGTTTTAAAATATCACAAACAAGCTTTTCAATGTTTCCTCAAGAAATGACTCATTACCTCCAGGAAACTTAAAACTATATGGCAAGCCCCAACTGATTTGGCTCAGTGGATAGAGCGTCGGCCTGTGGACTGAAGGGTCCCAGGTTCGATTCCGGTCAAGGGCATGTACCTTGATTGCGGGCAATCCCCAGTAGAGGGTGTGCAGGAGGCAGCTGATCGATGTTTCTCTCTCATCGATGTTTCTAACTCTATAAAAAATCAATAAAATATATTTTTTTAAAAAAACTATATGGCAAGCACCTAGCAAATACCACCTGCACAGCAAGGTCTCCACAGCCTCGTTGTAAAAAATCGCAAACAAACCATCACAAATGTCCAAACAGAAATATATGAAATAAGAAACCTTCTCATGGTCCCTACTCTGTTGACCACCCAGAAGACACAATGGTGGTTGGAAGTCGGCACTGAATCTAACAGTTTGGGTTAGAGCAGTGATGGCGAACCTATGACACACGTGTCAGAGGTGACACGCGAACTCATTTTTTTGGTTGATTTTTCTTTGTTAAATGGCATTTAAATATATAAAATAAATATCAAAAATATAAATCGTTGTTTTACTATGGTTGCAAATATCAAAAAATTTCTATATGTGACACGGCACCAGAGTTAAGTTAGGGTTTTTCAAAATGCTGACACGCCGAGCTCAAAAGGTTCGCATCATTGTGTTAGAGTGTCCAAGAGGTCAGGAATTGAGCAGGGGTACACTCCTCCCCCAAAAGGAATGTTGGGGGAAAGAGCCAACATAGAAATCAGAGTGGAGTTAGCCGTCTAGTCCAATATTTCTGACCATCCCATATGATCGCTGCTACTCGTACTGTTTTGGAACCAGAGGGACAATTCCCCATCACTTGCTGCTGGAAGACATGCCTAGGACAGGATGAACAAACAAGTGGCTCACCAGCTTATTTGACGGAGGGCTATGGGTAAAGCTTACTCGATGGAGTAGGAGAGATACAATTTACACTCATAAACACAAACAACATGTACTGGGATAAGCAGTAATAGTACTCCTAGGTTACAGAGTGTGTGTGTGTGTGGGGGGGGGGGGGGGGGGAATGAACAGAGGGCAATGACTTAACCAGAATTCCAGAAGGAAAAGGCAGACTTTTAGAAAGAAAAAGCTGCTTGTAAGCAGAAAGGGAGGAAACGCAGACTGGGGCTGTGAAGAAGAGATAATAGTGGAATGCAACTTGTTCTTACTACATCTGAACTTCGGTTTCCCAGTCCCCGTCTTCTGGGCCAGCCTAGCAGATCTTCTTGAAGGCTGACACCCTTCAAATACCTCTAGGTAGCTCCCATACGCACCCTGACTCCCACCCCTTTGTCTCTGTGGGCCAAACACTGCACAAAGAGTCCTTTTAATGAGTCCCTGTGTTGCAGTCACTGCTCAGAAAGAAAACTCCTTCCCATTCAGGGGTATCTTTTCTCCCTTCTGCCATCTACTGGTGGAAGTGAACATATATTCCCTCACCTGACTGTTCCTGATTTGCAAATAGGTTGGAGTCCAAAAGCTCATTTATGTAATACTTGTTATGTGAAAGACATTTTTCCAAAGGAAAAAATATGTATGGTTCCATCTTTCCTTCATCAAATAAGCATTTATGAATAACATAATATGAAAGTATACACATATAAACACAGTATATATAATATAGAGGCTTCAAATTTTTACTTAACTCCTTATCAGCTATACAACCTAGACAAGCCACTTAGCCAGTCTTCATCTGTAGTAATCGTAATAATAGTGATAAATATAGTGGCTAACATTATTAATCATTATGATGAGCCATAATATAGTCATGTAAACCTCACAACCCTGTAAGGTAGGCACATTACATAAGATCTATGGCTCTTCAGATAAGAAGACTGGAACATGGAAAGGGTGAATACCTCTCCCATGGTCTCACAACTCATAAGAAGCAGACCTGACAGTCTGACTCCACAGTCATAACAGGAACGATAACCACCTTTCAGGATTGTTCCTTTCAGGACTTAGATGCAACACAGGTAAAGCTGCTGACACACAGCACGTTTTAAAAACAACAGCTATTGATCATTCACTGGGGGTTGGGCCCTGCAAGATCGTAAAGCTGCATCCACATCCATGAATGAGCCATGGTCCTTGCCCTCTAGGCAAGCACAATTACAACACAGTACTGAGACCGAGTTCAGCTAAGACAGTTCAGCAAAGACAGCATCGGACTTTTTTTTTTTTTTTTTAACCTTCTTCGGCATAGTCTTCCTAGTACCTGGCACAGTGGCTAGTATATAGCAGGCACTGGGAAGGAACATAGTTTTTAAAATAAAATAAAATTAGGTTCAAGACTCTGAGTCAGACAGGATAGATGCCCTTAATTTCCATATTAGCAAGTGAGAGAGACCAAGGTTCAGGACCTATCACAAGATCACACAGCAAGGGCGAGTGGGAGCGACTGATACTTTTACCAACTTCATTGCACTCCCCCATCCCTCTGCTTTCTTCCAGGCCCCCAGGTGGCATCGAGAGGTTAATGAAGGTAATACTTTCTGAGGGTATCAGGTGGGTGGATGGCTATAAGCAGATAAAAACTTCAATATGAGCAGACATCGGGGACCACATCAGAGATTACACGGTCTCTAATGGGCCCATTTTCTTCCTGTCTCTCTTCCACGTGGCACAAATCAGCTCTTTACTCTAGGTGAGACTGTTTAGGGCTATTTCCCAGAGTTCAAGTTTCTACAGTTATTTTTAGCTGGAATTTTACTGCATACCTGGGACAGGTGAGGCATGAAAAGGAATGTGGGTGTGGGTAACCCTTGAATCTCTAGTGCCAGGGTCTGGGTCTCTTGTCATTCCAGCCAAAGAGGGGTGACTCACACCCTGATTTATTATCTGCACTAAGGCTAGGTTTCACCTTAAGAAATATGTGGATTAAAACCTCCTATATATTCTCTAATTTTGTATTCAAGTCTTTGTGTGTGTTTGCTCTTTGGAACATGCTTTCTTGGATGTTACTTTGTTACCTGCTTTTGATAACTTGGAATGCCTTCATTTTCTGTAACCAATATCACAGCCCGAGGTTCTTTCTAGTCCCATTTCCCAGGCCTTTGAGGGACCTGGGGCAGATTAGAGTACCTGATTTACATTTTTTGCAGGTGAGAAGCTACCTGGAAAACACTCTGGCTGTAAGCTGGCTGTCTTGATAGTCAGCCAAGTTCTAGGATATTCATTACATTGTTTAAGGACTAAAAGAATCGTGATCTATCTAGACCCCTTCTGGCAACCACTAGAATGCCCTCAGAGTGCCCGAAATTCCAGAGTGCCTGGGATTCTGAGCCTGCTTGAAGCTTGGAATGGCCTCTCCAACTGACCCCTTCATAAGACAGAGGTATTTTCCTCACCTCACGTTAGCTCTGTACAGAAGAGGTAAAGCCAGGCTCACTAGGATCATGAAGTCATGACACCGTAAAGCTATAAAAAGTGGTTTTATGATTCAGCTGAGAAATAGAGAACTTTTTCTCTGGGCCAGCATTCCATGACTATTGAGATACGCCCTTTAAAGGTCTTAAAATTCAGGTGAGGTGTGTTTGTTTGCAGTTGGGAGAGGTGGAGAGGTTGGTCAGTTGGTTGAAGCTGTTTCTTAAATCAGGAAAACAGAACTAAAGAATTACACCAAGAAGGGAACAGAACAAAGGCCACAGACCTCCTTCCCCATTCCTTAACTAGAGCCACTGGTAACCTGACTGCAAAGACAATTTACATTTCATTTAAAGAAAGTCATTTTAAACCCCTAAACTTCTACCTATCCCACCATTTCTGAAGACCTATCTCCTGTCTCTTCTAATCAACTCTTACCACTTCTATTTCACAATGCAATCTTAAACCCTAAGGAACATAGCAGTCCAGAAAGAGTTTGTAATGGATTGACTAGTGTACCCAAAAAAATTCATGTCTACCTGGAACCCCAGAACATGTGACCTTATTTGGAAAGAGTGTCTTTGCAGGTAAAAAGTTGATCCTTGAACACAAGTTAGTAATTCAACAATCCTTCCCCTGCCCTATGCAGTTGAAAATCTGCATATAATTTAAAATATATTTTTATTGATTTCAGAAAGGGAGAGGGAGAAATAGAAACATTGACGATGAGAATCATTGATTGGCTGCCTCCTGCACGCCCCCTACTGGGGATCGAGCCCGCAACCTGGGCATGTGCCCTTGACCTGAATCAAACCCAGAACCCTTCAGTCCGCAGGCCGATGCTCTACCCACTGAGCAAAACCGACCAGGGCTGCATATAATTTTTGACTCCCCCCAAAAAATAACTAGAGTTGCCCCCAAGTATCCATGAGGGATTAATTCCAGGGCCCCCTGCAGATACCAAAATCTGCAGATACCAAAATCTGCAGATGCTCAAATCCCTTATATAAAATAGCGTAAAACAATGCATACAGTGAGTTTTCCACATCTGCAGATTCCCAACCACGTTTAACTTAAGAACCACCAATGAATTTGCCACGTAACTGCCACTGTTAGTTTCTTACCTATGAGCAAGATCTTCTTAAATCTATGTCCTTTACCTTATAAAGGTCTTCAAGAAGTTTCAATCTTTAAAAAATAATATTTAAATTTATTATTCACATGAGGTCTAACGAAGCACAAGCTGAGATTGCTTATGTATCCTAGGTATCCCCATTCTACAGATGCAGAAGCTTCTTTACAATTCTAGGTCAAGTGCTGCATCACATAGTCCTTGACTTGCAGCTGAGAAAGCAACAGGTCTGTGTGAAGTGACAGAAGGGCACATCCTACTCCTGTCATGAGCAGGAACCAAAGTGGAAGAACAGTAAAACCTGTACAAAACATTCTTCAGTCATGACACTCCAACACATAGAAAGGAAAGTACTGAAGCAGCTGAGCAGATTCTGGACATAATTCTGACAGATTTCGGTCTGAAGAACTCTACAGCAGGAGGTTTCTTTCTCTTCCTCAATCCCCTTTCACACAACCGAAAGCAGAAATCAAGTCTTTATAAAAGAGACTAACGGCCTTTCCGTTTCTTCATTTTCCCTCCTGCCACCTTGTTCCTGACACCCATAGCACCCTCCGTATCATCATTGTCCCCAGCATCGTCCCGTGTACGTTTCTTCTTTTCTCCATGCTCCCTCAGCTCCTGCAAAACAGAAAGGATAGGACTGAAAATGAACCACTGTCACTGAAGATTAACACATCCTGGTCTCTCCTCCATAAAATCAAACAATGAGTAACTTCCTAAAGTTTCACATTAGCAAGGAAATAAGACCAAAATCCCAATATACAAAAATGTTAACCTTATTAACAATCAAAGATACAAATTCAAACAATAAGCTATTATTTTCACATGGCAGACTAGCAAAGATTTTAGAGAATGGTAATATCTAGTATTAGTCAAAATGTGAGGACATTCACATATACTTTCACTGACAGTGTAAACTGCTATAGCTTTTCTACAGGGCAATGCAGCATTCCATGTGAATTCAAATTTTAACTGTATACTCCTCAGCCCAACTGTTCTAAGGATTATTCTAAGGAAACAAGACAAGTATGTAAAACTGTACATACTAGGATGTTCAACCGTGCTAGTTAAGACAGAAAAAATTACAAAAAGCCTAAATACATATCAATGTAAATCATGTTACATATGCATAACAATTCTTTGCAGCCATGAAGAAATGATCACATGGATCTAATTTGCTGAAATCAAAAAATATTAATCATATACAATTAGATAAAGTCTAATTATGGCTAAGAAAAGAAAAATAGCCAACGGTTACCTATGGTTCTCTGTGAGGGGTGGCTTATACGTTCCATTTACTATTTGAATCCTTTCTGTATTTTCTGAATTTCCCCCTCCCAATGCACATGTAAACAATAATATCAAACAAAGAATTCTATTTTGAAAGAAAAATAAAACCAAGTCCACACTTCAGCTACTCCGAGGCACCCCACGGGCGAAATTCCTCTGTCCCTCAGACTAGAATTCCAGGGAGCAGATGACACTTGCAAGGATTCTCCTTTAGAATCTTCTCATCTCCACTGCTACTGTTATTGCTACTACTAGCAACTATGCAGTTTATATTAGCTTACCTGGTGCTCACAGAATCCTGTAAGGTATTCAAGGTAAGCATTACTCCCTAAATTAGGATAGGAACTGCTTGGTGAGGATCTGCTTCTGAGAAATCAGTGACAACTGGGACATCTGATCTCAAGTTCTAAGGCTTTCCTGCCACATGTGAAACATGAGCAGTGGCTGAGACTGTGGTCACTGTGGTCAGACTGAGTCTGAATCCTGATTCAACCACTTAGTTGCATTGTCTAATGATGGACCTACCATCTCTAAGCGTTAGCATGCTTAGAAATGCATTTATTCTTAAATTCAGAATACATTACCCAGCTCCTACATTTTATTATGAGGACTAATACAATATCTAGCACATAGTTAATATCATTTGCAAAAAAGTGGGTAAAAAAAATAAGTTGCATACCATTCGGGCAAACCTTTGGGCTTCAGTCACACGTTCTGTCAGCATCATAACCTCGTCATCCTGTGTTGGAAAGACAGGCAGTTTCTTCCCAATTAAGTGTTCTATGCGCTGGAAGAGTTCCACATCATACCTGAGGAAGAAATATTGGCATGGTTTTGGTGGACTGACAATGCAAACGTTAGCCCATTCCAAAATATATATTACATTATATGATGCAACAGGAGCCACAGTGTTAAACAATACCGAATCTACTGTTCCTTTTCAGAATACTAACTAAATGCAATATTTTGTGCATAGCCCATTAGAAAATCCCCCAATACAGTCTTTACTCCCAGAAAAGCACGGGTTCATAAAATTTTTCCTTTAAAAAGAAAATCAGAAATAGTTATTCTAATTCTGTGAGGTGAGGGGAGGTCAGTGCTCTCTGGCTCTAGCAGTTAAAGACCGGTTTAGCTCAGTGGATAGAGCATCGGCCTGTGGACCGAAAGGTCCCAGGTTCGATTCCGGTCAAGGGCATGTACCTGGGTTGCAGGCACATCCCCAGTAGGAGGTGTGCAGGAGGCAGCTGATCGATGTTACTCTCTCATCGATGTTTCTAACTCTCTATCCCTCTCCCTTCCTCTCTGTAAAAAATCAATAAAATATATTAAAAACATTAAACTTTAAAAAAAAGAAATAATAGAGTGGTTTTTGTCCTTCTATATACCAAATACTATACTAGCCCTTGTAGACAACATCTCCAATCTCATTAAAACCCTGCAGTATTAACATTAGGGGCCAGTGAATTCTTTGTTGTGGGGCGTCCTTTGCAGTGTGGGATGCTTAGCAGCATTCCTGGCCTCTACCCACAGGTGGCACTGTGACAAACTGATGTTTTCAGACTTTTCCAAAGGCAGGCATTATTTCCATTTTACGAACGATGAAACTGGGATCAGGGAGGTTAAGTAACTGGTAGAGTCAGGTTCCAAGTCGGTTTGCTCCCAAGCTCTGCTTTTTTCTCAACACTGCTCTGCCCCAAACACAATTCACTTACTGTGTGACAAAGGTAATAGACTTTCCGGAGCGCCCAGCTCGAGCTGTTCGACCTACTCGATGGATGTAATCCTGAAACAAAAAGGGTAAATGAATTTGAGTTACATGTAGTATAAATAAAAACTATGTAAGTAAGGTCTTACTGCAAACCTCTGAAAGAAAACAAATTCGTATTGGAACATGGACAATGGATTTAAAATTCTGTTGAGATAAATCTGCATCACCTTTTTTATTCTCACAACACAAACTGACCCCATTTTTCCTTTCTTTTATAGAAAGACAAATCTACAAAGCATATCTACATGGTCACTAAGCATATTCACATGGTGCAGAGAAAAACAGCATTGGATCTACAGGCAGACCTGAGTCACAGCTCTGGTTTTACCACCTACCAGCTACGCAACTGTCTGTAAATCACATAACCTGTCTGAACCTTGACTTCTTACCTATAAAACAGGGATAGAAGACATGCCCAAACTCACAGTGAATGTGAAAATCAAATGAGACAGCACCTTGTCTACAGCAGTTAAAAATATAGCCAAGAGATACGAGTTGGTCTCAACCAGGGAGGATTTTGTCCTCCCCAGGGAATATTTAGAAAAATCTGAAAACTTATCTGCTTGTCAGAGTGTCACCTGTGGGTAAAGGCCAGGAATTCTGCTAAGCATCCTACACTACAAAGGACAGCCCCCACAACAAAGACTTCACTGGCCCCAAATGTTAACAGTGTCCAGATTGAGAAACCCAAGATACACTAAGGACCACAAGCTGTCACTTCTAAAAAAATGAGACTGACGAAGATCAGCACACTGCATCTGCCCCTCTGACTGTGATCATTATTTAACACCTCTCTGTGGCTACCTTCATTCACCTTTATTAATAGTGTATCTGCAGGCAGGTGCAAAATGGTAAGAATGAATAAATCAGGAGCTTTCCTAGTTTTTGACACTTAACTAATCATGGACCAAAGAAAGAAAAAGAAAATACAGTAAACATTTCATTAAGAAATATACTCTGGCCCAGCTGTGGCTCAGTGGTTGAGTGTCAACCTATGAACCAGGAGGTCACAGTTCAATTCCTGGTCAGGGCACATGCTCGGGTTGCAGGCTCAGTCCCTAGTGTGGGGTGTGCAGGAGGCAGCCGATGGATGATTCTCCCTCATCATTGATGTTTCTTTCTTTTTTTAAAAATATATTTTATTGATTTTTTTTACAGAGAGGAAAGGAGAGAGATAGAGTTAGAAACATCGATCAGCTGCCTCCTGCACACCTCCCACTGTGGATATGCTGCAACCAAGGCACATGCCCTTGACCAGAATCAAACCCTGGGAACTTTCAGTCTGCAGGCCAACACTCTATCCACTGAGCCAAACCGGTTAGGGCCATCATTGATGTTTCTCTCTCTCTCTCCCACTCCTTTCCTCTCTGAAATCAATAAAAATTTTAAAAAAAATACACTCTCAATACAATGGAATATTATTCAGCCATAAAAAACAAGAATTAAATCTTGCCATTTCTGGTAACATGGAAGAATCCTGAGGGCATTATGCTAAGTTAAATAGTTCAGAGAAAAACAAATACTACATGATCCTAACCTATATGTGAAATCGAAAACAGAAACAAAAAACTGAGCTCATAGACACAGAGAACACATGTGGTGTTGCCACAGGTTGAGGTGGGGTTAGGGGAGTGAAATGGGTAAGGAGATGGGGGGCGGTGTCTACAGGTATAAATTTTCAGCTACAAAATAAAAAAGTCTTGGGAATGTAGCATTATAGTCTGTAATACTGTAATGCATATTTGAAAGGTGATAATAGATCTTAAAAGTTCTCAAGAAAAATACTGATTATTATGTGTGGTGACAACTGTTAACTTGGCTTATTGTAATGACCATTTACAATATATACAAATATCAAACTTTTACCCTGTATACCAGAAACGAATATAATGTTATATGTGAATTACACCTTAATTTCACTTTGGGACTAGAAAGTCAGATCAGAAAAGGACTCACCTTGGAATGGGTAGGAATGTCAAAGTTGACAACTACATCCACATGAGGAATGTCCAAACCTCGGCTTGCAACATCAGTTGCTAGAAGAATGGAACGAGCCTTTGCCTTAAACTTATTAAGGGATCCTAGGCGCTTGCTCTGAAATGATGAAAAAAAAGACATGAAAATAATTTAAGGACTCTTAGAATCTCAGACATACCAAATAGACATATTAAATACAAGAGATAAATTTTTTAAAAGATATTTCCCCCCAAGTCCAGATTGGACTTCACGGGGCAAAAAAGAAACATGAAAGCAACAAAAAAATATTTAAGACTAAGGCTAGAAAATACTAGCATGACATAAGAATTGTTTAACATAATAGATAATTGGGCAATAATTTATTAAAAATTCTTAGAGATCAGAGAATCACTATTACCACAAGGGCTGAATAAATCAACTCAATGGCTTCCATATCAGAAACTACCTATGGAATTAACTAGAATCTCTTGCTTATCCTGAAAGGAAGAAGTAAGCATCCAGAGCAACACGCCAAATGCATAAAATCAAGCCTGGGAAGATGCACTAATGCCATGTGTTGTTACTGTACAAATCTATTGCTATATGGTTTATCTTCCTCCTGCCACCTGATCACCTCCAATGACACCGAGGAATCTTTACCTGACTCATCTGTCCGTGGAGGGGGATGGCAGTGAATCCAAGATTTCGGAGTAGCAAAGCTGTTCTCTGAGTATTGTTACAGGTGCTGCAGAATATCATAAAGGAGTTTCCAGCCAATTCATTTAGAATATAAACCAGGTAGGTATCCTAAATTACAAACAAAAGACAATACATGTAATTGAACCTGGAAAAAAAGGTTGGGGTCCTGGGCATATAAATTCCATAAAAATAATAAACTTATACTTGCTTCTCAATTATACAAACCCCTAGCTGCCAGCTTTTCACTCTTTATTTCATTTTTTGTTAATCCTAACCCGAGGATATTTTTCCATTGATTTTTCAAGAGAATGGGAAGGAGGGGGAGAGACAGAGGGAGAGAAACATCAATGTGAGAGAGACATATCAATTGGTTGCCTCCCGCATGCGCCCCAACCAGGGCTGGGATGAAGCCTGCCACTAAGGTACATGCCCTTGACTGGAATTGAACCTGGGACCCTTCAGTCCTCAGGCCGACACTCTAACCACTGAGCAAAACTGGCTAGGGCTAAAATATATATATATATTTTAAATATATTTTTATTGTTTTCAGAGAGAAAGGGAGGAGAGACAGCAACATAATGATGGGAGGGAATCATTGATTGGTTGCCTCCTGAATGTTGGACCGAGCCTGCAACCCAGACATGTGCCCCCAACCGGAATCGAACCTGTGACCCTTCTTCAGTCCACAGGCAGACGGCTCTATCCACTAAGCCAAACCAGTTAGGTTTAAAGTATATATTTTTAAAGATTTCCAAGAGGAAGGGAGAGGGAGAGACAGAGAGAAGTATCAGTGATGAGAGAGAACCATCAATCTGCTGCCTCCTGCACGCCCCCTATTGAGGCTCGAGCCCTCAACTCAGGCACATGCCCTGACTGGGAATCAAACAATGACCTCCTGGTTCATAGGTCAATGTTCAACCACTGAGCCACACCAGCCAGGTCAGCTTTGCACTCCTTAAACAGCATTATCGTCTCTGTGAACTCTGAATTTCATACAGCCTGAGCCAAGCACAAGGAGATCTGTACTCAGCAATCAGAAAAAGTCCTCACATCAAGGCACAACACAGGGTCCTTTGACTACAAAAAAAGCCACATAATAAGCACACAAAAGAAAAATGACCTCAAGGATGGGGTTGGGAAGGAATTATATCATAATTTCGTTACTGTGGTTTACTTAGTATGTTGTGAATTCGTGGAATGTTTGACTTTATCAGTGATAAACAGAACCACAGCCGGCTCTCTAAAGCAAACAGAAAGAACTCCAATCTGTAGCACAGCTCTTAACTAATCGAGAGTTGACTCATTTTCAGATGCTTTGGAAAGGAAGGAGAGGGAACACTTCACCTTGAATTTAGAGGGAATAAAAATATAATATTGCTGCAATTTCTCAACCGTCTGGTATTTAGAGGAAACAGCACATTTCACAGGATCCTTCAGTGCTGCTCGCTGAAGCTTTTGTACCTAAAAAAACAAAACAAATAGTTTTACTATTGTTATTGTTGTTTGCATTAATCAATTCTTATAAGGAAGAAATAAGAAGTCCTAGAAAATTTCACCTTCTTCGTCATGGTAGCAGAGAAGAGAAAAGTTTTCCGATCTCGGGGAATCACTTTGAGAATCTTGTCAACCTAAGGCACAAAGAGGAAAGGGTATCAATACAGTATTTTTTAAAAATGAATTTCTTTATTGATTTCAGAGAAGGAGAGGGAGAGATAGAAATATCAATGATGAGAGAGAATCATCGATCAGCTGCCTCCTGCACACCCCCTACTGGGGATTGAGCCTGAAACCCTGGCATGTGCCCTTGGCCAGAGTCAAACCAGGACCCTTCAGTCCGCAGGCCAACACTATATCCACTGAGCCAAACCGGCTAGGGATCAATATAATATTTAGACTAGACATCTGCAAATATTCTTTGTGAAGGAGACAGAAAATAGAATAACAAACTAAATACAACACTGTGGGGATTTGGGGACTCAAAAATTCAATTCAATCCAGCTAAAATTTACAAAATATTTACTATTTGATACCATACCAAATGCTATAAAAAAAACAATGTGATTCAGTGAAAAAGAACAATTTAGATTAGTACATAAGAACTAATCTAAGAGAAAAGTCAAAAATAGGTATTAATCAAGTACATAAGCTATGATGAGTAGGTCATCAAAAAAAAAAGCACAGATATTTCAAAGTGTGTGGAAGAAGTCTATATCAAGGGTCTTCAAACTTTTTAAGCAGGGGGCCAGTTCACTGTCCCTCAGACTGTTGGCGGGCTGGACTATAGTCTAAAAAATAACTATGAACAAATTCCTATGCACACAGCGGCGGCAAAAACACCCGACGGGCCGGGCCGGATAAATGTTCTCGGCAGGCCGCATATGGCCCACGGGCCGTAGTTTGAGGACCCCTGGTCTATATCAAATAAAATGGAAAAAGAAAATCTGGTTTTGATATTCCTCATCTCTGAAATCCGAGTCAACTATACTCTAAAGAGGATGCTGAGGCACTAACAATGGGAAGAGCACCACGAATGAAAAAGGCAGATGTTTAGGTCAGCGGATAATGATGCAGCTCTCCCCATACAGCAGGTGTGCAATAAATCAAATTTTGAAACAGGGCACTTGAGATGCTCTAAGAGGAGGAAAGAAATTGGGAGCTCACCTCTGTCTCAAAATCCATATTCAGTATTCGGTCTGCTTCATCCATGACCAAGTATTTGAGAGCTCTTAAGTTGAAACCTTTTGTATTTTCCAAGTGGTCAATCAGTCGACCAGGAGTTGCTACCAAAGAAAGGTTGAGGAGAAAGAGCAATGTTTAAGAACAAGGACAAAAAGGAAGTTACTAAGCCCCTCCTCCACTACCACCCCCCTCAATTTCAGAAATGAAAAATTAAATAGGTTTACAAAAACCTGTTCTTCAAAGTCTTTCTGTTAGAGTAAGCAGGCACAAACAGAGCAGCAACGTATAGAATGATACCAGGGAGGGGAAAGTTCCAGGTGCCAACTACTATAGGCTGGCACCTTGCCCAGGGTGACCTTTCCTCCCGTAGCATGTCATTGGTCATTGGTTTAGACCTCCTTAGAGAAGGAACAAGGGGCTGGAGAATAGCCTCTTATTACTCCCGTACAAGAACAGGAGACGAGAATAGGAAAGGCCCTGATAGGTTAGCTTAAAGAAGGAGCTAAGCCCAGCCAGTGTGGCTCAGTGGTTGAGCATCAACCGATGAACCAGGAAATCATGGTTCGATTTCTGGTTTGATTCTGGTCAGGGGACATGCCCAGGTTGAGGGCTGGATCCCCAGTAGGGGGTGTGAGGGAGGCGGCCGATCAATGATTCTTGTCTTTGATGTTTCTATCTCTCCCTCTTCCTTCCTCTCTGAAATCAATAAATATATTTTTAAAAAGGAGCCTTTGACAATACCCCAGGGTAGCTCTCTGAGCAGCCCATTCAACTCTTCCTTTTGAGTATACTTTTGCTTTGCTTGCTAAATAAACTGCCTCCTGAGCTAGTTCTTGGCTCTGAATTCTTTCCTAGCCGAACTCAAAAACTGAGGTCCACGTTCGCTGCTAACATTTCCACACAAGTAAGTAACTCCCAACATTGGTAGATCTTCTCCAAGTCATCACTGCCAGTATCTTTTACCTTTGGCAACTACTCACCTATTACTACATGTGGTTTTTTTGCCAGGGCCAGAGACTGGGACATTGAATCAATTCCACCTACAATCACGGCTACAGGAAAAAAATAATAATAATAATAAACATAGGAAAGAGACCCTTAGTTTTCCATAGTTCACTGATCACCTTTTAAAGTCAATGCTAGATTTCTACTTAAATTTACAACTTTCCCCAAAGCTAAAATACCAAATCAGCATTTTGGTCAATAAACTTATGCTAATTATACTTCCTTCCATTCTCCTTTCACACTTGCTGGGGTCCAGTCCCAGCGGGTCCAGGGGTCCCCAAAGGTGTGGACGGAGTCAGCAAAGAAGGAAAGACACGGAGACAGTGTTCAGTTGATCAGCAGCCTAGCCAGGATCTCCAGCCAAGTTCTGGTCTGGATCTCCAGAGAGGTTCTGCTCTGGATCTCCAGCCAGGTTCTGTGGCCATGTTCCCTCGCTAGGTTCTCCAGCCAGGTTCAGTCACCAGGTTCTAGTCAGGTTCTCTTGCCAATTTCTGTAGTCAGGTTCAGTCCAGGATCTTTTGCCATGTTCTCCCCAGAGAAGTTCTTCTGTCTCTAGAGAACGTTCTGTGTAGGTTCTGTGCCTCCTAGTTCTGTGTTCTAAGCTCTGTATTCTAAGTTCTGTGTCTTGCTGTCTTGTTGCATCTGTATTTATACTAGTTGATTCAATCCTATCAGTCTCTATTACAAAGGTTAGGGCGTTTCTTATCTTCATTCCAGGGAGTAAAGATTATGTAGCTTAAGCACGATTGTTCGTAGTTAAAGTGATTAATTACCCGCCTGGCACTTAGTTAAGAGGTTTTATTCCCTCCCTAACTTCAGGGGAAAATCCCTACCTGGGAAACAACCTTTCTCAGAGACCTTGGTTAAAACACATAGTGCCAAGAAGGTGAGCAAACATATTAAGAACAATATGCCATATATGCCAGGTCCCTTGAAACAGCAAGCATGGACCGGCTCCCGGCACACACTCATTCTCAACTAGTGAAGGAGCCCTAAGACTCCTTTCCTCTTAGAACTTACCAGTCTGTACTCCAATAGAAGATCCTAGGGCTTCAAACTGCTCTGAAATCTGAAAGGCCAGCTCTCGGGTGGGGGTGAGAACTAAAGCAAACAAACGCTGAGGCGTCTCCAGCAGCGCGTTCAGAATGGGCAAAGCAAAGGCCCCTGTTTTTCCAGAGCCGGTTTCCGCCAGCCCAATGATATCACGACCTAGGGGGTGGAAAAAAAGAAAACATCTCACAGCAAAGAGATTTTCTCTGCATTTTTCCACTTTCTCTACAATGACACAATGCTGGGCACAAAGTAAACACTGAATAAATATTTGAGGAACTGGGGGCAGAAGAAGGTTGAATAGACAGACGAGATGAGCTCTAGATGAGCTCAAAATCCAGGGACGAGATACACAAATACAGTACAGTGTGATAAGGGCTTTAATATAAGCCCCTGCAAAATACAGTAAGAACACAAAGGAATGAGTAATTTACTGCCCTAAAGAGTCAGGAGAGCTAAAAGAGATGATGACTAAATTAAATCTGGAAGTAAGCACAGAAGGTAAGGAAGGGCATTCCCATAGGATGGATGACGAGAGGCTGAAAGCTTTAAAAAACATAGAAGACTTGCCAAAACCGGTTTGGCTCAGTGGATAGAGCGTCGGCCTGCGGACTGAAAGGTCCCAGGTTCGATTCTGGTCAGGGGCATGTACCTGGGTTGCGGGCACATCCCCAGTAGGAGATGTGCAGGACGCAGCTGATCGATGTTTCTCTCTCATCAATGTTTCTAACTCTCTATCTCTCTCCCTTCCTCTCTGAAAAAAATCAATAGAATATATTAAAAAATTTAAAAAAAAAATAAAAATAAAAACCAGCTGGGAATACTTGCATGGGGCTCGGAAGAAAAGTGGGGGTTAGAAATACAGTTCAAAGCACTATTCTCTCTCTAGAGCTAGCTTAGTTCTTAACCTGGGACTCGTGGGAGAGGAATAAAGTCAGAGCAAGGGATAAATTTTATGTGTGGATAGATTTATGTGTTTTTTTCTGGGGAGAAACGCTTTAACTTTTATTTGATTCTCAAAGGGGCAAGAAACCCCAAGAATGTCCCCCTTCTCCGATGGTAATGTACCTCACTTTCTCTGAGGATCTTAATGAATTTCAGTTAACACTTCTGGGTCTTTCTCCTCCCAGCCTGGTCCTCTAAAGTTGAGTTTTGGGAATGTAGGAACAGGATTTCACTTCTCCCCTTATTAAAGTTCACCCCGTTAGCTCCAGGCCCACTAGTCATCAGCCATTCTTCTGCAAATCTGATATCCATGTCTTACAGCAAGAGCTCTCAACAGCTCCAGATACTAACAACGGTTCCAGGGACCCTTGTGTAAATCTGCACTTATTATTCATGATGCCTTTTTTTGTTGTTTTGGTTTTGTTTTGTTTGGTGCACCGTTTCTGGAGGTAGTGCAATACGGGTCGATGCGTGGAGTGGACGGAGCAAGCTCCGATTCCATCTCCCTATTCCAAAAATACATTTCATATAATGTCCTCAGAAAGAGGATGCAACAGATATTAAACTAAGAACAGACATTGCACTTGATCTTAGCCAAAAGGCCGAGAAGCGAGTCATGATTTCTAACAAGTCTCGTGTTAGTACATTTTAATCCAGTGCTTCCTTGGGTCAGCATCCGCTGCAGACACTAAAGCTCCTGATACAAAGTCAGCTCAGCCCTGGCCAGGGTGGCTCAGGCGGCGGGACTGTCATCCCGGGCACCGCAGGGTTGTGGGTTCAATTCCCGTCGGGGCACATACCCACGCTGTAGGCTCCATCCCCGTCGATGTTTCTCCCTCCCTCCCTCCCTCCCTCCTTCTCTCTCTCTCTCTCTGCTTTCCTCTCTCTCTCAACAGAAGACGTAACAGGTGACGATATGTAGTTTCACAGAGTAAGTGATTCACAAATCATATTATAAGGAAAAAAAAGAAAGTAAAAGTGGAGAAGAACTTTTACAGAAACCAACACGCCACCAAAACTGTGCGTGGTCAGTGAGCACGCTTTTGTCTCACTTGAAGCAGCAAGGAGCAGTTCCCTGACACTCTCCTAAGTTCACACCGGCTGTCCCAGGCCACCTGCTTACCGCCGACCTACCTTGCAAGGCCAAAGGAATAGCTTCCACCTGGATTTTGGTGGGCTTCGTCCATCCCAGCTGGTCGCAAGCTTCACACAGCACATCGGTCACCCCCTTGGAATAAAAACAAAACGCGGACATCAGCACACACTCCCCGCCCCTCACGAAGTGGCTGTCGGAGCCCCGGGCGGGCCGGCGGCACGTGCGCGCATCCCTCACACTCCTTCCAAGGGCGCCCGCCCTGCGTCCGCTCGTCCGCTCGTCCGCTCGTCCCGCTCCTCCTATAAGTGCTACTGCTCGCCAGGGACAAAGCCAGGTTCCTGACCCGTATTATTCCATTTAATCCTCATGATCCCATGGGGCTCTTCCCCAACTCACAGACGTCGAGGAGGCAGAGGCGTAGCAACCCGCTCTGGGGAGAGGCTGGGCCAGAATCCGAACCTGGCTCATCTGCCTCCAAAGCCCACGCGTCGCCACATCAACACGGAGAAAAGCGCCAGCGGGGCTCTCACAGCCCGGCCGGCAGCCACCCGCGCCCCCGACGACCAAGCTCAGCGGGTCAGGGAGCGCGCCCGGAGCCCGAGCTTCGGGAACTCCGGGGGACGCCTCAGCGAGGCCCCAGCGGCTTGTGTCCACCACCAGCCGGGATCTAAGGCCACTGGTCTCTGCCTGCGCCTGCCGCCCGCAGTACAGAGAGAAACTGCCCTCACCAGGTCTTTAAATGTTTTCGTTTCCTCCTCCTCCACGGCCGGCTGCGGCGTTTCTGTAGGGGAACCGGCATCCTCGGGCGCCGCCATGCTGTCCGGCGGCTCCGGAAGTGGGGCGGCGGCGCGCGGGATGCTGGGTAATGTAGTTGTAGTTCTCCCGACCGCGTGTTCTGGGCGCCCCCCTGCGGCCTCGCCGGGTTTTGCACCAACGGACCGGAGGGCTGTGGCTTCGCGGAAACCTAGTGGGAAAGTTAGAAACGGATATGAGTGTGGACTTGCGGAACTGAACCCAGTACAGAAGGGTCCGATGACCAGGGCCTCCAATATGCCCTTCAGATCCCCACCCATTATGCTCCTTACTTTTCAACCATAGAGTTTTAAACAGGTTGATATCACAGTACTATTTATTATAATTATTATTTCATTTATTTATTAAAACATTTGTTGAGTGCCTACCATATACTAGGGCTTGTTTTATGCTTAGTGACAATGTATGCTTAGTGACAAGGGCAGCGTCCTGTACCCTTGTGGAGAAGACAGATAATAAATAAGTGGTCACAGCCCTGGCCGGTTTGGCTCAGTGGATAGAGCATCAGCCTGTGGACTGAAGGGTCCCAGGTTCGATTCCAGTAAGGACACATGCCCAGGTTGCAGGCTCAATCCCCAGTAAGGGGTGTGCAGGAGGCAAGGAACAATGATTCTCTCTCATCATTGATGTTTCTAACTCTCCCTCTCTCTTCCTCTTTGAAATCAATAAAAATATATTTTCAAAATAAATAAATAACTGATTACAGAGCATTGTGCTAAGCGAAATAAGCCAGTCAGAGAAAGATAAATATCACATGATCTCACTCATTTATGGAATATAATGAACAACATAAACTGATGAACAAAAACAGATCTAGAGACAGAAGCATCAATCAGACTGTCAAACCTCAGAGGGAAGGTAGGGGAGGGTGGGTGTAAGGGGGAGAGATCAACCAAAGGACTTGTATGCATGCATGTAAGCCTAACCAATGGACACAGACAAGAAGGGGGTGAGGGCATGAGTGGGGGGGTAGGCGGGTAATGGGGCGATAAGGACACATATGTAATACCTTAATCAATAAAGAAAAAAATACAAATCCTTAACAAATAAAATAAGATAAAAATATATTTTTTAAAAATAAATAAATGATCACAGATTCTTTCAAATTGTGGATTAATTATTAACCAGTTAATAATGTGGATTGGCCCTTACCCGGTTAATAGTGCGGATTGGCGTTACTGGTTAATAATGCAAATTTTGTAATCCAAAAAACACACAATAATTTCAAGAGAAACATCAAAAATGCTTTATTCAAAGTAATGTCCATCGCTAACTACACATTTCCCCCATCTTTCAGGTAATTTGTGGATACCGTCCCAATAGAACTTTTCTTGTTTTGAGGCAAACCATTCAGAGACCAAATTTTCCACTTCTTTGTACGTTTTAAAGTGCTGCTCAGAAAGTGCGTGTGCCATCACTCAGAACAAGTGGTCATCTGAAGGAGCAAGGTCTGGGGAGTTCAACATCCGCTAAGAAGAAAGGAGTCCAATAAACACCCCAGGCTCTCAAATGATACTCTTAGAAGACACCACCCTAGGAAAGAGTGTGATATACAGGTAGGACAACTGTAAAACCAGCCCACTACTTCAGATCCCCCATCCCTCCTGGGATCCAGGGGTGGAGCACATGACCTAGAATAAGCCAACTGGTGCATGTCTCCCATCCTCTATTACAAGGATTGATTCAACAGTGTGCACAGTGTCTTAGTAAGGCTAATCAAGGCCAGCAACACTTAATTCTGGGACTTGTGTTTGAACTATCGGTTAAGTGTGCTTCTCCTGTCTCTCATGCTAGATTTGGTGTGCTGATGAGCCGGAAGCTGCCAAGGCCTACCATATGGAACCTAAAGAATGTAGCAAAAATTGTGAAGAGACAGAAAAGAAACAGTAAAATCTAAGACATCACTCTTTGTCTTATTCCAGACCACAGCAGAATTCCCCAGGGTTTGCCTGGAGCAAAAAGTTAACATCCCCACCTATGTCAACTCAACAAGGAGAGATTTATTGCAATTAACTAAATGGACACTTGTTAAGACAGGAACACATTGCTACAGCACGAACAGGATCCCAGCATGTGGCTGGCTTTGCAAATAGTCAGGGTCTTTTTTTTTTTTTTTTTGGTTGCACACCCACTAACAGTACAGCACCTGGACCCAGGCATGTTTCCAAGGTGGGGAGACTCAGGCTGGTTGGCACTCAGATAGGGAGACCACCTCCACACAGGAGCTCTTGACTGACTCTAGCAACCACTGCAAGCTCTCTGGATTGCTGGACCCCCTATCCTATGTCCATCTTCCCAACAGAATATAGGTATATTGGGATCCACCAGTTTTTAGCTAAAAATGATTACATTTCCCTGGCACGGTCAAGATCAGTGATTTGCAAGGTGAAATTCTCTGGACATCTGTGGGGAAATTTTGCCTCCCGGGAAAAACTGCTGGAAGTCTGATTTCTAGGTAATAAGAATATTCCTGTACATGAGTTAACTGCTTTTTAAAAATTGATTTACATGGTTTGATACTGAATATTCTAAATGAAAGTGATTAAATATCTGCCCTTTTCAGTTATTAATTCGTACACAGGCAAACATGAGATTAGGTGATTAATTACAGAGATCAAAACATTTGAGGAGTGGACAGTTTATTTCAATTGGGGAAAGAACTAATTTTGCTACAGTGGGGAAAAACCATGGAATTCAAAAATTGCTTCATTTAACTGAACCCCTCTATCTCTGTAGTGTCTTTATCTCCATGTCTCAATTCCCTCTTTCTTTTCACACCAAGGCATAGAATGAGAACTATATCAAGTTGACTGATGGTTTGACATATCTGATTTAAAGTGGCTTCTACACCACTCTCTCTCTCTCTTTTTTTCTCCCAGTACACACTTTTGACTTTGACATTTGCCATATTGGAAATGACAGATGCCTTAGGGCAAACGCATCAAAGCAATTAGGATCAGCAAGTTTTCGAAGGATTGTTTTTCAATAGAGCAGAATGTAGTTTTGTTGAATCCCCTTTATTGTGAAAGAGAACCATTCAAATGATTGTAAACCACAGAAAATACCAGAAGCACTTAATAAGCCTTTAGTACAAACACATTTATTTTTCAAACTCGGGACATTTTTCTGGAGTATGCTTGTGATCTAAATACTGCTTTGCCTCCTTCTTGTTGCAACATACCATTTCAATCTGCTTGTTTGTAGCATGTAGGCCATAAGGAAAAGCCTTATTCACATTCCCACAAAAGAAATGAATATTTGTCTCTAGGATCCATTGAACTGAACTTGACTAAATCCTGATAGAGGCTCCAGTCTTTATAACAGGCATGTAGAGGATGGATAGTCTTTCATTATCAATAAATTCCTATTAAAATAATAGCTAAGCATTTCATTAAATTATTCAAATGCATTTGAATAATTATTATTCAAAGAGTGGTTCCAAAGTAGACACTCTTCCTTAGATGTAAAGTGGGCCTAGGACTTTGATATAGTCAAAATACCCTAATGATAGGAAATGTTTGCTGCTGCTGCTGCCAAAAGTGTCCCATATATTTCTAGGGAACAGCTCAGGCACTGGAAGAATATAATTCAAACTTAAGCATTAATAGAAGATGGAGTTAGGGAGTGGTTGTACCTTTATGACATAGCACAAAATGACAACATTAAGTACATTCTGGTGACCTAAAATGCTAGCATCTGTGCAGGGTAGTCCAGGAAATGACACCAGTTTAAAAAGAAACCAGTACCAACTTGAAAACAAGCCAGGATACACACAGATTGAAATTTATACGAAAAATTAAAATTTAGAACCACCAACCACCTCACCCCAGCACTGACACTGTACTTCCTCAGACACACGGCCATCACTGGGAAGCCTGGGAGAAAACAGAACCAATTTAAAGCCTGCTAACTCATTAATCATACAGCCAAGTTTCTGTATACGTAGCCTCAAAGACTTTTCAACATATTTTTCAACATTACAGTTGTAGGAATGGAAAGTGAAATTATATTTTCTTTCTTAGAGACAGCTTACAGACTTTTTACAGCCCCCAATGTAAAAATATGACACATCGCCCCCATCACACAAGCTATTTTGTTTATAACCCATAAGACAATGTGACAGGACATCAGGCTTCCGAGGTCTAGGTGCTTCCTTCACGTGCCTTTAATTGTTTTGCTTTCCCCTGAAAAGTAGTTCAGAGCCCAGGGCTAAACAGATTCTCCTTTCAGGTCAAGTGTTATCTGCTGGCAAGGTACCTTCAGGTTAAATATGCCTGCATCATTTCCACATCCTGCAAGTCAAGCCTCCATTTATAAGCTTAAACTCAGCTCTGGGTCTGTCTATTCAGAACTTCCCACATTTACTCCACGTGGGAAGAGAGACTTATTCAAGGAGAACGCACGACCGGCCTCAGAAAGTCAAACTCAACCTCATCTCGTGAAAAGAACCTCAGTAGTCTCCCATTCAATCACTTGCTATTCCTATTATTTCCTAAATGTCACGATTAAATAAAATTAAATGCAAATAATAAAAAGTAAATAAATAAAAAAACTTAAAATAAATAAAAAATAATACACAGTCTAGCAGTTTTCAGAGAAGGTAATGAAGATCAATTTCCAATAAATTCACATTCCTTTCTGTACCAGTTTCTACAATGAGTGGGCAACACTGCCCTCGAAAGGGCTTCTTATGTTACAGCCCTTAGCTAACATGACGGCAAGGTGCCCCAAGATGCACTGATCAATGCACACACATTCTTTTACTTCTGGGACACAGTCTGTCCTTGACCTTCAGTCTGAAGACCATGGAGCTCCTAGGGAGGCCCTGAGATTGAGTGAAAGCTCATTGAGGGGATCAGAAACGAACATCTGTTGCAGTGGTTTTCAAACCTCAGAAGGCATCAGAGTCACCCCGAGGGCTTGTTTAAATGCACCTCCAGAGTTTCCGACTCCATAAGTCAGGGGTTGAGTCCAAGAATTTGCCTTTCTAACAAGTTCCCTGGTGATGCCGATATTGCCAGTCCAGGGGCTACTCTTAATGAGCCAGACATTGTGCTAGGCACTGCATCTGACATATGACTCACAACAGAGTAAGGTTTGGCATCTCTCTTTGACCAGGAAGCCACGTCTCAGAGAGACCAAGTGGCCAAGATCACACAGTAGTGACAGGGTACGTAAGAAACCCAGGACTATCTAATTCAAAGCCATTGCTCTCTCTGTACACTAGGAAGTCAGTACATGAAGCTGTAAGTCACTTCATCTTCCTTGGCCTCAGCCTGTCCTGCAAGGGACAGCACTTAGGGATGGGTTGGTCCCCCCTCTCAGTGCCTGAATATGAAGCCACCCAGGAAGGTCCACTCCATCCCCAGGCTGGAGCTGTGAGTGGATAAGCTGAGAGGGGAAGGAGGGGGGATGTTATGTCAGAGGGAGGGGCCTTTCTTGGATCCTGAACCCTCCAACACTGTTCAGAGGGGGTCACTTGGCTCTGGATTCTGGAGGTCTTTGTACTCAGAGACTCTGGAAGAGAGGCTTTATGCTTGTGTCTCCCCACTAGGGCCTTCTGAGGGCCTCCAAGCCAAGTAGAGCTTAGAGAGGACCCAAAGGATGGCCATATCTGCACCCCCTCCAGCCTCAGCTCAAACCACCTGGGCAGGGGCAGGGACCACCCAACAACTTAAAACCCGAGTGCCCAGTAATGTGAAGACTGGACGGTTCTGATCAAGGAAAAACAGTTTTCAGGTCATCTATTCCACGAGGATCAGAAAATAACACAGTCCTCAGCAGAATGTCACGGTGACGGAAAAAGAAGGGCTGCGAGGACGCTTCCCCGCCAGCACAGTTTCTTCTCCTCCTTTGCACTCAGCTCCTCACCCAGCTGGGTGCTTCCCGAGGGAGCCACAAATCCGGAGCATCCCACAGGGGTGCTTTCTGGCCTCGGTCCTTAGGAGAAAGGATGTTCTCTGAAAAACAGCGCCGGGGGCTGGTCGGCAGCGATCTTGAGGTCGTGGCCACGTCTGGACTTGGTGCGGAGCTGGACTCTGGACTCCAGCTGCTCACTGAGTTCGTCCAGAGCCCCCGTGCAGGACTCCAGGCTCTCCGCCAGCTTCTGAACCTTGGCCTTCAGCACCGCCTGGCTCACCCTGGTGGCCCCCTCGGCCTGCCTGGGGAGGAGGAAGCCGCGCGAGCCGAAGAAGACGATGAAGTAGACGGAGTTGTACAGGGCCATGGAGGCGTTCCTCCCGCTCTGCAGCAGCTGGCGGTCGCCGCGGCCCTGCCAGCGGCAGAAGAAGTCGAGGCAGCCCAGCAGCTCGCGCATCTGGTCCTGGCAGGCGGCCGCGATCTCCTGCACCCTGCGCACCTCCCGCGTGTGGCAGAAGATCAGGGAGAGGTCGGACGTGATGGTGACGGCCCCTCCGGCGGTGGCCACCCCCAGCCCCACGGCCGACGCCAGGAGCGAGGCCCCCAGCGTGACCGGGCTGAGCGAGAGCCCCACGAGCGCGGTGAGGGCGCCCGCGGCGGTCAGCGAGCTGCCGGCCACGCGGGCCGTCTGGGAGCGTCTGCGCAGGCGCTGGAGGCGCCGGGCCACCTCGCGCAGGCGCAGCAGCTGGCCGTGCAGCCGGCCGCGGCGGTCGAGCAGCAGCCCCTGGAAGCGCCGCAGCGCCTCGGCGCCCTGCAGCTCCCCGGCCGCCGGCCGCTCCATGCCCTGCGGGGACACAGACACGCATTATTCCAGAGTCCCCCTGAGCGACAGCGGCCCGCCATCGCGGCCTCCACGCGCTGGGGGGCAGTCGGCAAAAGTTAAACCTAGCAGCTACTGCCACGCAAGGGCCAAGGGGTCACTTAATTTAATTTAGTTTTAACTAAGCACCCCTCAAAGAGTGAGACCTGATGAGCTCTACCTAGAATAAGCAGCAAAACCCACATCTTAGGCCCTAGCTGGTTTGGCTCCGTGGATAGAGCGTCAGCCTGCGGACTGAAGGGTCTCAGTTCCCAAAGATCAGTGCTGTGACCTGGGGCAGGTCGCCCAAGTTCTCAGGACCTTGAGTCCGCATTTGCAAGTAGGGCTAATGCTGTCCTCTGCTTTTCCTCCCAGGGGACGCTAAGGATGCACTTCACTAAGTATTTGTTATGTAAGATGTCAATGCCCTGTGGAGAGGAGGAGCCTTTTAACATCTCAATGCTCAGACCTCTGCTCTGTGGGAAGATAATACTTCACAAGCGGGAGGTTGTACCTGCTTACAAAGTCCTTTTGTTACATGAAGACTTGGATCCTAAGAGTTGTGATACAGTTCTCTCTCTCTCTCTTTCTCTCTCTCTCTCTCTCAATAAGTCATCAAAAACTCAAAAATCTTATTATCTATCAAGTGAAAGAAACTAATCTTTCTAAGTTAGATGGTTGCCTGGAGCAACAGTTCTGCTTGTTATTCTTCCAGGCTCTTATCTTAGAATTAAGCCTAAGATGTGGTGTTGTTTTATTTTATATGTATTTTTATTGATCTCAGAGAGGAAGGGAGAGGGAGAGAGAGATAGAAACATCAATGATGAGAGAGAATCATTGATCGGCTGCCTCCTGCACACCCCACCCTGGGGATCGAGCCCGCAACCTGGGGCATGTGCCCTTTACCGGTATCGAACCTGAGACCCTTCAGTCCGCAGGCTGACGCTCTATCCACTGAGCCAAAGAGTTAGGGCCTAAGATGTGGGTTTTGCTGCTTATTCTAGGTAGAGCTCATCAGGTCTCACTCTTTGGGGGGTGCTTAGTTAAAACTAAATTAAATTAATACCACTATGTCTCTATTATGAAAGCTTCCTTTTAAAAAATGAATAGCGGTTGGCCCGGCTGGTGTGGCTCAGTGGTTGAGCATCAACCTATGAACCAGTAGGTCACGGTTAGATTCCGCCCGTTGAGGGCTCAGTCCCATGTGGGGAGTACAGGAGGCAGTCGATCAATGATTCTCTCTCATCATTGGTGTTTCTCTCTCTCTTATTCTCCCTTCCTTTCTGAAATCAATAAAATTATTTTTTTAAATGAATAACAGTTGAATAAAATAGTCACCCAACCCAAATTTTTTGTTTAACAACTCACGGAGGGCAAACCTTGCACCAAATTGAATTGAAGCCAATTACAGATGACTAACAAAAAAGACAGAACTGTATATTATGGGGTAAAAGTACATCCTTGCTAGTTGCCAAAAACTCCCCCCTTCCTATCAGCTGTACTCATCATTATCAGGAACTTCTTTAAAGTAGCAAATAAGACACAGAAATGGAGCGTTCCGATCCTGTGAGATAATCAGGGCAGAGATCGCTCTTCTCATCCGAAAGATGAGGAAATCGAAACACAGATTCTAGATGCAGCCAGTCCTTCACAGAGCCCAGTCTAGAATCTTGGTCTCCTGACTCTTCCTAGGTCTTAATTTACTTGTATGCCTCCATAATTCCACCCACCAGTGATACATTTCCAAGTAAAGACAACTCTTAGCAAAGTGGGAAGAAGTCACTCAAAATATATAATGGACCAGGGATATAAGCCCAGTATTACAAGTCCTATGGCAATTTTTCAGGTAGTGTCCCTCTAGGCTCCCCACTTACCGTTCACCTCTGGCTACCTCCGGGAAGAGAAATCGGAGGCTGTTTCTGGATGAGCATGCTTTATACTTCCCGAGAGCCAATGGCTGCCCTGGGAAAGCCTTGCCTCACCCTGAGCATTGCCTTTTCCTGTCCTGGCCCCCGCTGCCTTCACCCAGAAGGATATGACTTGGTGGAAAATGACCTGCCAGCCTCACAGCACATCCCGTGTTTAGGAAGTGAACATTGTGTGTTCGCTTTTCCCCCAAACGCAGGAAAAGAACAGCAGGCTCTTCCCCAACTTGAAACGAGTGTGTCATTCTCCCAGGAGGGTAATACGCTGCCTTTCCTCTCCTGAGAATAGCTAATGACGTTATCTGGGAGGACATCAAACGCACCCCAGGCTGACCAATTATAGTGTTTCTTGAGAGGCCATAATTCCAAAATCATTTTTTTTTAAAAAGGGGGGAGGGCGGGAACTGTTTTGTTTGAGATAGCCACTTATAGTCCACTCCTGTATTTTAAAAAGCTATGTGAATCTGAGAGTGGTTGAAAAATGTGATCCAATAAGCATGAGGCCCTAAAAAAAATTAAAAAAAAAAAAAAAAAAAAAAAAAAAAGCAACCACACGGCCACACCCGAAGGAAGTGCTGCGTGCAGTTTTGGGCATCTCCAGCTGCAGGGAAGATATTGGAGGTCTCAGAAAGGTCACGCTGCAGGCCAAATGCGTCAGAAAAAATCTGTGGGGTCAGGCTGCACAAGGAGCTAATTATATACTCAAAACAGCAGCAGGGATTCAGCTTCCTGGGTTTGCAGTTGAAGTAGCAATTGTAGTCCATGCAATAGTTAAATGAATGGATTCTATCTCCAGGTTAGTGAAGCATGACTCGAAGGGCGGTTGTCTGAATAATTCAGGAGGAAATGGGGAGTACAGCATCTGTGGGTGCTTTCTGCTGGTTGGAGCTCAGCCTGGCAGCCTCTGACCACAGGACCCCTAATGTGTTATCCTTCTTCTAACACTCGCACCTTAAAATAAGGAGGGCCAAATTGGTTTCTCCCTTAAATGATTATCGTCTCAACTCTCTAGTTCATCTTAACAGCCATATCTTTCTGGAACACAGTGAACTGCGCCACCTTTATAACTATACTTTGTCTTTATCAACACAGCGCCATTTGTTACTACTCACAACCATGGTCCTTTTGAACTTGACTTTTTTGAATCATTGGTCCATATGCAAATATTCTGGTTATAGTTCCTCAAAGGGTAAATATCACCTTAGTCAAGATGCCTTCAGTATCTGCCTGAGCTTTTGAATTAAGAGGTAGAGCCCTAACTGGTTTGGCTCAGTAGATAGAGCGTCAGCCTGCGGACTCAAGGGTCCCAGGTTCAGTTCCAGTCAAGGGCATGTACCTTGGTTGCGGACACATTCCCAGTAGAGAGTGTGCAGGAGGCAGCTGATCGATGTTTCTAACTCTCTATCCCTCTCCCTTCCTCTCTGTAAAAAATCAATAAAATATATTTTTTAAAAAAGAGATGGAAAATGTGTCCCCATAGGCATTGACACTCCAAATGAAATGTAAGCCAGGCCTCATCAAGGGTGAGGAGGCGGTGGGCGAGAAAGAACACCCTGAGGTTTCACTTCCCATGTGCTTCTCCAACTTCCCTAGTACAAGAGAAGAGGGAGGGAGCTCCTTAAGGACAGGGATCTCCAACCTCCAGCCCTGGAGAGTCTGAATCAGCAGATCTGGAGTGGTGTCTGGGCAGGTGTAGGGGATTCGCACCTGCACCAGGGTTGTGAATCACTCACTGCTCCAGAATTTTCTGACCACTAGTTGCACGCAGCAGAAACAGTATGGCTAGTAGAGTGCAGTTTGTTAGGTAGGTATTTATTCATTTTGGGCCCTAGTTAAAACAACCACATGTTAAAGTGAAAATCATGATCAGGGCCTCCCAGAGATGTAGAAAAGCCTAGGCCATGTCTATTTGTTGAGGCTCTCGGTGAATAAAAAAAAAAAAAAAATAGCCCTAACCGGTTTGCTCAGTGGGTAGAGCATCGGCCTGCGGACTGAAAGGTCCCAGGTTTAGTTCCAGCCAAGGGCATGTACCTTGGCTGCGGGCACATCCCCAGTAGGAGGTGTGCAGGAGGCAGCTGATCTACGTTCCTCTCTCATTGATGTTTCTAACTCTCTATCCCTCTCCCTTCCGCTCTGTGAAAAATCAATAAAATATATTTAAATAAATAAATAAATTCTAAGACAAGATATGAAAATGTGTGGTTTATATCTTTTAATTACAACATAATACATTTTTGCAATGTCAATATTTTGCTACTCACCAGATAATCACAGGATCTATAAAATATTAATCCACAGTGCACTGCAGTGGTAATCTGACACAAGTTTAGAGTATGATGATGACCTTCTCCTTTTCATCTTTATCAGTATAATCTCAGTGACCATACATAGGATTCCTTTTGGAGACAACATCAACAGTATAAAATCAAGACAATTTGTGAGGTTTCATTCACAATGGCCAAAGATCTTCCAGACCTTTCCCTTGTAATAGATCCTAATACATGCAGGCACTCAAATAAAAATGAAGATAATAGCACATATCCACCTGAGGATTTCGCCCATGTTTTTTGTAAATTCCATGAGGTTGTAACTGCTCTAGCATATCATTAAGCTCCTCAGAATTGCTTGTTGAATAAAACTAAAGAAAGGTATTTTGTTCTCTTAAAGAAATGGCACTATTTTCATAATAATTTGATGAGAATTTGGCATGAAATTATCTCTTGGAATATACAGCCTGGTGGGTAAGTTAAAGCTCTTATTCTGCAGGGGACTTCCAGGATATCCACATTGCATGACATCTGAACTATTTTGTCATAAATTCATGGAATTATGCAGGTCAGTGAACACTGAACTCCAGCTATCTTCTTTTCTTTTCTTGGCCTCTGGCCTTTGATAATGTATACACACATCCTTAACCACTAGTGTTTAAATACTGCTCTGTGTTCTTTTGTCCACTTAACGTTCCTGCAGATACACACTTCTCTGTGTTGACATAGTCCTCACCTCTTGTCATTTTTAATAGCTATGTAATAATCCCATTGTTTGTTTAGTCACTTCCCTATTAGACACTTGGATTGCTTCCAATTTTTTTTCACTATTATAACCAGAGGTGCCAGAAACATCTGTGTAAATTTCCTCCCTTTGGATATTTCTTTGGGGAATATTCACATATGGAAAAAATACCAGGTGAAAGAGAGTGAACTTTTTATTTTATTTTAGAGAGAGAGAAAGAGACTGATGTGAGAGAGAAACATGGATCGGTTGCCTCCCGAACAGGCCCCAACCTGGGATCAAACCCAAAACCTGGGTATGTGCCCTTAACTGGGAATCAAACTGCTACCTTTTGGGGTATACTCCAACCAACTGAGCCACACCAATCAGGGTAAGAATGAACATTTTCGTGGCTTTTGTTCCACATTGCTATAATCACTGCTTCATCATAAGATTTTATTTTTTTAAATGTGTTTTTTATTAATTTCAGAGAGGAAGGGAGAGGGAGAGAGAGAAACATCAATGATGAGAGAGAATCATCGATTGGCTGTCTCCTGCACGCCCCACACTGTGGATCGAGACTGCAACCTGGGCATGTGCCCTGACTGGGAATCGAACCGTGACCTCCTGGTTCATAGGTCAACGCCAGCTGGGCAAGATTTTTCTTTTTAAAGGGAGACTCTACTATCATTTCCCTTTTCTGGAAGAAAAAAAAAGGTATACTCTTACTTTCTTATTCTTTTTTTTTTTTTTTAATATATATTTTATTGATTTTTTACAGAGAGGAAGGGAGAGAGACAGAGAGTCAGAAACATCGATGAGAGAGAAACATCGATCAGCCGCCTCCCGCACATCCCCCACTGGGGACGTGCCCGCAACCCAGGCACATGCCCCCGACCGGAATCGAACCCGGGACCTCTCAGTCCGCAGGCCGACGCTCTATCCACTGAGCCAAACCGGTTTCGGCTTACTTTCTTATTCTTTTGTGTGTTTTTTGTTGTTGTTGTTTTTACTTGCTTATTCTTTTGGACAAAGATGACATTGGAAGCTATTCAATTGCCCCAGTCTCCCTAATGTGATCAACTGAGGTCAGTTTAGGTTTATTCTATTTCCTCCTCCACAGGTGTGCACACCTGCACAGAATACATGGGATCACGTGGGTGAAACATACAGCACATCATTAATATAGAAGTGTTTGCCCTATGGCTCTACAGCATATCTTCTTTACCATATGCTTTTGCCTCTGCTGCCAGAAAGACTGCAGCTGAGTCCACACCTCTCAAGTAACCATAAAGATTCTTTTATCTACCAGGACACAGGACAACTATTACCTTGGTCTCTCTCTTTCCCAGGCTTAGTCAGTATCTCTCAAGTTCTCAGACATATATAACAATCACTGCAACCTGGATTATGACATTTGCTTGTGTTGTGCATACAGAGTCATAATAAATCTGAAGCTCTCCCTCGACTTTTAGACAACTTGAATAGTTTCATTTTTAGTGTGTCTCTAGTAGGCGAGAGAATGTTGAATATTGGTTCTCTTTTATTTTTAACTTTGTTTATAGCCTATTTTTAATAAAAGATTTCAGTCATTTCACATTAAACATTATAGTGAAGCAAGATCAGGCCGAAACCAGCTCTCCGACATCCCCTGAAGGGATCCCAGATTGTGTGAGGGCACAGGCCAGGCCGAGGAACCAACCTGGGATCAAACCCAACACACACACACATACTCTAATATATAGATGACCGTCCCATGTGGTCACAAGATGGCTGTGCCCATGTCATCACAAGATGGCCACCACAAGATGGCTGGCAGGGGAGGGCAGTTGTGGGCAACTGGCCTGGCAGGGAAGGGCAGTTGGGGGCGATCGAGCCAGCAGGGAAGCAGTTAGGCGTTGATCAGGCTGGCAGGAGAGTGGTTATGGGGTGATCAGGCTGGCAGGCAGAAGCGGTTAGGGGCAATCAGGCAGGCAGGCAGGCGAGTGGTTGGGAACCAGCAGTCCCGGATTGTGAGAGGGATGTCCAACTGCTGGTTTAGGCCCGATTGCCCACAACTGTCCACGGGGATCGGGCTTAAACCAGCAGTCAGATATCCCCCGAGGGGTCCCAGATTGGAGAGGGTGCAGGCTGGGCTGAGGGACACCCCCCCCCCCAATGCATGAATTTTGTGCACCGGGCCTCTAGTTGTTGTATATATTCCTATGCAACTTTTTTCCCCACTTAAAAATATAACACAAATAGTGTCATTCCCTATCCTCATAGGTTATTTTTCCCTTTCTCTCTGGCCTGCTCTGTGCCCCACAGGCTG